GGTGGTTACTTATTATCCCTTAGCTTGCGTCTGGTGGTGGGGGCCGGCCTCTCAACCAGTACACTGCTGTGGGTGCCATTGGAGTACGAACGCCCTGAATGAAGTGTCTCCATTCTGGTCGATTAGCAGCAATACATCTAGCATGCTCAACACTGCACCTCAGAGCCCTAAGGTCTTCCTCAACTTGCTTCAACCAAGTCTTTTTTGGAGCCGTCCTCTGAACTTTCCACTGCGCAGGGCGTCTTCTCCACAGGAGCATATTAGGTATTCTGTCGTGACCCATCCTGCACAGGTGACCGAACCATCGTAGCCGTCGCAGTTTCAATTGTTCCTCGATTGTGGGTTGATCTTCAAACTTCTCCCTGATGGCGTTGTTCGTGACATGGTCACGAAGCCTGATCCCGAGCATATGGCGGAGACAACGCATTTGAAACACCTCGAGATGAGAGAGATCCGACTTGAGCAACGTCCATGTCTCAGACCCATATAGTAGCACAGGGAGCACCAGCGTCCGGAACATGCGAATTTTGGTTTTCAGTGATATGTTACTCTTCTTCCAGAGACACCACTTTAACGCTGCAAATGTCTTAGACGCATGACCAATCCTGCTGCGGACCTCAGCCTCGGCAACCACTTTCCTTTCTTGAACGACCGATCCAAGGTACTTGAAATTACTCACTTGCTCCAAGGCGACGCTACCCAGTCGCACGGACGCGGGCGATCCATCCGAGGTCATCACCTTGGTCTTTTCCGCGTTTATTTTGAGGCCATACGACTGGGCAATCTCTGACAGTGAGCACATGATGTTAGTCGCTTCCTCGTCAGTTTCGGCGAAAATTGCGCTGTCGTCGGCAAACATCAGGTCAGTGAGAAAGCCGCCTTCACCGTACTGCACGCCTTGCCTTCCGTTGAAAGTTTTCCTCATGACAGCGTCCATTACCACGTTGAACAACGTAGGGGAGATCACGTCACCCTGACGAACACCAGCACTTACAGGAAATTCTTCAGAGACGTCATCCTTGACGCGGATACAGCTGACAGTTCCATTGTACGCCTCCCGCAACAGCCTCACAATTTTGTCCGGAACATGTTCACACTCTAGGGCTTTCCATAGCGCTGGCCAGTGGACGCTATCGAATGCAGCTCTGAAATCTATGAAAACAACCACAACCCTTTTGCCGCAACGAATACGTTCTTCCAGTAGTTGCCTCAGCGCGAAGATCTGGTCACTGCACCCACGGCCAGGGCAAAAACCCGCTTGCTCCGGTCGGCATAAGCTTCTTCGATGAAGCTGAAGTCTTGCGTTGATGATCTTTGTGAAAACCTTCCCGACGACTGACAGGAGTGATATGCGCCGAAGTTATTACGTGATATGCCGCGATAGTTTTTGCATTTTCCTTTATGTCGCCTTTCTTGTGTATTGGCACGATGATGGAGCGTTTCCACGTCGTAGGAACAACCTCCGTCTGCCAGACGCGACACATAAGACGGTGGAGCCGTTGTACCAATACTTCTCCTCCTGCCTTAATCGCTTCTGCTGTGACATTGTCTACACCAGCCGCTTTCCTGTTCTTCAGCGACATCACCGCCGCCCTCACTTCCTCCATACTTGGCGCCGCCTCGTGTGTTTGGTTCCTGCATCTCTATCGGTACTGGCTCTGGAAACGGTTCTGTGGGCAGTTCGTGGCTGTACAGCTCTATGAAGAACTCTCTCCATCTCTGTAAGCGTTCCCTCTCTGACTTCACGAGTTTGCCACTTGCGTCTTTGATGAAGGTTCCGCATGCTCTGGTTTTGCCGCACAGTCTTCTCAGAATTTGATACGGCATGCGATACTCGTGTTTGGATGCCGATTCTTCGAGCTCCTCCGCTACTGCGTTCCAGTAGGCCTCCCTTTCTGTTTTTAGTCTCTTGCGGAGCTCCTTACTGAGTAGCTGATACGTAGTGCCATTCGTCAGCTTCACCTTCCTCCTTTTGTCAACCAACTGCAATGTTTCGTCCGAGATCCATGGTTTAGTCCGTCGGCGCAAAACTGGGCACAGTTGTGTAGCACATTCGGTAATGACTTTTGCAGTCTGCCGTTCTTCCTCGTCCACCGTTCCCACTTCCGTGAACGCAGCAAACTGATTTGACAGTGCAATTTGGAAGCCTTGCTTCACCTCCAGCTTCAATAAGTTGCTCCCAGTCTACTTTCGGTTGGCGTTTACCTCGCTTAGCACACTGTAGGCGGAGCTGCACGACTGCTCGTAGTAGGTAGTGATCTGATCCGCAATCCGGGCCTCTCATTGCACGCACATCCTTTAGCGATGACCTGTATCGAGAATTGATTAGTACATAGTCCAGGACTGCTGAATCGTGACCAGATGGATTTCTCCATGTCAGCTGATGCTTTCGTGCATGCTGGTATAGGCTATTGCCGATGACCAGATCATTGAACGTGGCAAACGAAAGCAGCCGCAAACCATTGTTGTTCATTTCTCCTACGCCAAATCGGCCCATCACAGGTTCCCATCCGGTTCTGTCGGCGCCAGTTCTAGCGTTCAGATCGCCTGTGACGATAACGAGATCTCTTCTGGGAATGCTGTCCAGCACGTCTTGGAGCTGCATATAGAATTCGTCCTTCATACCGTCGTCGCTCGGTTCCGTCGGAGCGTATACGCTCACTATGTGCGACTTGACGGTTCCGCCCAAAGTGATCACTGCTATTCTCGGCGAGATGGGTTGAAACGACACGACGCATTTTGATGCGTGGCTATTGAGCATGAACCCAACACCATCACGATGTTCTTGACCGCCAGAGTAGTACAGTGTCATCCAATCGTCCGTAGCAGGAACCTGCACTCTTGTCGTTCCACAGCCGCTGATCCTCAGTTCGGATAAAGCTGCAACAGTAACCCGGCACTTGCTCAACTCCCTTGCGATGATTTCTTTCTGACCGCAGTGAAAGGCGGTCCGCACGTTCCACGATCCAAGTCGCAGTTTCGACTTAGGTGTAAGGAGTCGTGGGATTTCCTTTTTTTGGCCAGTCAATGTCTTTCCACCAATACCCTGGCTCCTCGGTATTGGCGCATCGGCTCCCCCGGATGCGTAGCTTTGTCGTTATTGCTATAATGACACTCCATGGTTTCTTACCTAGTTTTACAGCCCGTCGGTAGCGGGCCAACCCTCCTCCTTTCCCAGACGGGCTTGGGACCGTCCATGGCGGAGTGATGGGTGGCTTACCCATGGTTCGCACGTCCCGAGACCCCTTCCCCTAAATATAGCCACATCCTTGCTCGGGGTTGTTGTTTCGCATTTTTCGATAATGTCACCTACAGCTTCCATTCATTCTTTGCACCCTAGTTTTAGAGCGGAAAGGCGGGTTACGAACTTGTCGTCAACGGAAATCTCTTCTTTTGGATGATGAGACACGGACACCTACTTTAGCCCCGTCTTAACCCTGCTGTTCGCATAAGCCTACATAAACCCTACCCTGGGTGGCGGCGTGCGCCACATGGTGGCGCACGCGAAAATACACTGGCCGTCCGTTATGGGTTAAAGAAGAGCTTGAATGGTGAAACACAGCTTCTCAGCTCGCGTCGTGATTCCACCCAGGGGTGAAGGCTCTGATTATAACTCACGTCTGATCCCTTAATAAAAGCGCTGTTTGCTTCATAATTCATTTCCTTCTCGTTTCCACTGCCCATACCTTAACGTTCAGACTTCTCGGTCGGACACAGCGATGTTTCAGGATATCATGTGGCCCTGTAAAGCAAAATTCCTCTACTGCGCACCTTGGATAGACAAGGCAAGCCCCGGGATAAAACCGGTGATAAGAGCGCTTCGTAATGATGACTGAGCTGCGGGACGGCCTGAAAGTGGAAAGGAAAGCTAGAGAAATCTTTGGGATCGCTGAAATTAAGGCCTTAACCTTCAAAAAGGTCGGATGTGGAACGATGGCGAGGCAGGGCGGTCAAAGAAGACAAAACACGCGAGAGATCACGCCGTTCGAGAGAGCACGCCGATATCGAGGTGGGTGGGAAGCGTTGCAACGGGGGTCGATGGTTGCAGGCCCGTAAGGATTAGCGCCCTAACCGCGCAACTTTTGCGGCGAAGCTGGAGTGATCTAGTAGGTAGGTACGGACCTTACAATTTCCCTCGCGGTATCCTTCCCACAAGTCGGGCTAATCCCGGGGTTTGCCTTTTGAGGGGCAAAGCAATCGTATCAAAATGAAAATCACACATGAATTGACTGTGTTTCACTCTTTTCATAGTTTGCGGTGCAGCAGCAAACGAACTCTCAGCAAAACTATGACTTCCAAATGAAGAAGCCTTGAAAGTACTAATTCAGGTTCTGACGGGTATTCAGATCGCAGTCTGAAACACCGTGAATACCGCAACAACAATGCGGTACGTCAGCGAACTCTCTGCTGATGTTGACGATTATCGATTTAATGTAAGTATTTTCCTCAGTTCGCTAGGAATGCCCTCAGGCAAATCAACGCAATGCGTGCCAACCTTATTTATGGTCAAAAGCTCGTGCTGGCCAGACCTTTTTACTGCGTGACATTGGACTGAACGACGTGGGTGCATCTGTCTACAAGATTTTCATTTGCTCCTCCAAAGCTTTTTAGTGTTTTATCACCTTTTGTCTCAATTATGCTTACAGTATGTTCTATAATTGCTGCATGGGTTTTAGTCAATCAATTTCTCTCATCACTTGACGAAACGTTGACTTCAAAATGAAAGGGGTCAAGCGTGTCCAGGGAAAAAAGCTGCCTGGGACAAAACTCATCCAAGAACAGAAGGCGAAATTCACAGACAGGATTATGGGAGGCGTAAGGGAAAATTTCCAAACAAGATCCCCTCGCCCCACTGTCACGCAACATCTCAGCCCTTCTACTAGGGTGCCCTAAAATTTCGTTCCGCTTTTGACTCTTTTTTGGGTTACTACTTAAACAGAAATCAATATCTGTATCATTTGTATATGGTCCATCACTATCAGCGCCTTTCTGCCAACCAACAAAGAAAGAGTGGAGCTGTGCTTCCCAAAACCGGGTGATTTTAAGTGGAAAAAGGCAGCGAGGATGACTCGAGGTCATTCTTTGGATCTTATTTTCTGTCAGCATGATGATTGCTCAGCAAGAACATTGGGCCATCGGAAGGAGGCTGATCTCCGCTTCGTGTAGGATTTGTTGGGACTTTTCATCCAAAAAATCTAGAGTCGCGTCATTTCCGTTACATGGTCTCGGTTTTAGTGGATCGGAACATACTTGATTGAATGTAAGGGGTGGTTCCCACCAGCTTTGCGTGTTGATTACGGGACACCTGGCTCGTTACATTGCTGTAGTAGTTGCTGTAGGGAGAAGTGTGCTTTTGCAGTTAATTTGCATGCAAGCATACTTCTCACAGGCAGTAGCGTTTTTGTTAAGCCACAGCGTACGAGCGAACAGAAGCTCGCCCTCTTTGGACCTTGTCACCAGTGCGATACGCTTTTGTTTATGCCTCGGGGCCTCCTAACTCTGTGACTGGTCCTTGGACTTACAACCTCCACCCTTCCAGTGGTCAAATGCGACCCCCTTGACGATCTCTGTTCAGTGGACGGTTCACCCTGAATAATCCTCGGAAACACTCGTAGTCTCACACTTATTAGCATTACCTTATCTGTCTTTGCTAATGCATGACAAATATTGAAGGCAAAAGTCGGGCTCAATAAGGGGTTTATTATGGCGATTGAAACTGAGTATAGAGATGCGAAGTGGAACGACAGTGGAGAAAAAACTGAGAAAAACCGTCGACAAGGCCGTTAACAAAACCCTCTTTCCCCACTAGCAGTGAAGGAGGCTGGCTTGGGGAAGAGGCACGTACAAACAAGTTTTCTGGAGATGTCAGTCGTTCTATCGGTTGATACGGCAATCAACCTAGTTGTTTCACACGTTATGCCAGCCACGCACCACTTCCGGAGGTGGGCGGTCCCGGATTGACGAGGCGGTCCCGGATTGAAACCGACGGCCCCGGGGGCTTAACGACGTTTTTCAAGGTGGGAAGTTGCTGCAATGTGTGCAGCTACCCACATACAACCTCCAGGCACGGGAATTACTTCTCTAGCGTGTCTGAGCCCGACCTTTGCCTTTAATTAATCGACTACTTACTGGTTTTCTGAAGTTATTACGCGTAAGTTAGCACCGAAAGTGCCTAACAGCACAATATTCATTTGCGCCCAACTGTATTCTGCAAATGTAACCGTTCACATGTGATTGAAAGATTCAAAATATTCCAATCTCTACCGAATAATTTGTATCCTCCAAACTTCCACCCGAGTTCGATGACAGTGGCGGGAAGCAATAGCGACCGCGGTACACATTTGAGGCGAGGTACTCTCAGTTTAGCCACGCATTATGGAATTGACGACCAAACAGAGACTCTCGCTCGCCGCCGACTATCTCGATTTTCATATGATGTTAATTCATATTATACCAGTTTGCCTGCGCTCGCTATCGTTCGCATGTCAAAGTGGCTTTAGTAGAGCTGACCAGCTTTGATCTTCCTTAGCTCGTCAATATCCATAAACATCTATCATTTTCCCGAAACCAACACGGTCCTTGCGGCCGAATAAGCTTTGGATAACTAATGCGATTACTTGGACTGCTTACTGTCAGTCATTAAAACTGAACAACTAGCACGCGTCGGATGTTGGAATAGTTCAGCGGTTGGATAATTTCTAATGCTCGTGACATTGAAGAAACACGACTTATCGCATTTCTACAAACAACCACCATCCTAAGATACTGGGGCAAATTAACCGTCGAAGATTTGGATGCTGACGAAGACATGGGAATGAGATTCACCAACGCCCTTCCTTCTTATGTTAATCCCCCTTTGTCAGTCTTTATCAGATAATATCGCGGTTTTGTCACTCACCTCAAGACTGCTTCGCCCCCGAGGCTACCCCCCCCCCCCATCACCTCTCCAAACGACACACACTCTGCACTGTACTTGGAGCGCGCCGCAAATATATACGCGACACTTAGCGTTCTCCTCAGCATACCTTATCACCTTATAAAGTTGACATCTCATTCGTTCCTCACTCCACAAATAAGTACTTCTCTCCTGAAGCCAGACGTCCTCTCACATCCCATATCTAAGTCCCAAAAACTCAGTGCCCTGATGATTCCTTCCTGTGCTGCGCTATGATTTCCGGTCACTACACCATAACCACACCAGACATCACGCACACACCACACTCCAGCGAACGACTCGACAGTTATTCAGAGGGTTCACTTATCTAGAGGGCCGCAGGGTGTATCAGCATAAACAATCCGTAAGAAATAAAAATGAATCTTAACACATTCACGCCAGCGGCAGCCGATATGGCCTGCCAAGAATTGTGCTCGTGGCGATCGGAAGAAATAATGTAAGGTGAGGCAACGGCGCTCACAAAATCGCGCCCGTCCTCACGCGACCGAAAGTGGAAAAGGGGCGCCGTCGTGAATGTGCTTAGAAGGTGCCTCACCACGCTGTGTGCAGCTTGGTGCGCATTGTGCTGAGCATCATGGGCCATGTGCAGCAGTACCCGGCTGGGAAGGGTCCCCAGAATTCTGCGCCTCTATGCCTCTACTCCGATTGAATGACGCATCACAGTTAGTCAAAAATAGGGAGATGATTACAGAGACACAGTGTTTTGGGAACCCATCCTCGGCCGCGTACTGCTGCACATGGCCTCACCTTAACCGTCTATTACATAGTACTGCATTAACGAGTACTCATCCGTTTTGGTACGAAGTGCTGTACGGCGATCCGAGTTTGCCTTCGACAGGCTACGACAGTTCAATCACCCATGACTCGGAATTGTTCTACGACGTCTACCCGCAAACGATTGAGGTATATACCTTCTAGATTATAGATTAGACAGTAAACTCTACTTTTCAGTTGAGCCCATCTTCTTTGACGGAAGTCGACTCTTATGAAATCGCCGACAAACACGCAAACAATGCTTCAATCATTAACCAGGTAAACATTGATCATTTCCCTCAAAATTTGTTGATGCGATGATGTGAGCGTATACAGGACGGCTACCAAACCTAAATAATATGAATATTGTTGCAAAAATTT